AACTACAAGCCCCTGAACGTTTGGCGCTGCTGAGATGTGTATAGAGAAGCACACATGAGCCATTTTGTCAGAGCAAGTGGTGAGGGTTTGGCGGTGAGTGAAGACACTAGAGGAGAAGCGCCTGTATTAAAGTTGAGAAAGAGTGAGAGAGAAAAGAGAGAATGGGGCTCAACCCCCCCACATCAAAGCTTTTCCCTCCAGCGGTGTCTTGTGATATTTATTTATTGAGATGATTTTGCCAGAAACCCAGTGGCCTGGCTGTGCCCCCCCACTCTTTGATATGTTGCTTGGTTCTTAGCTGGCTGTCCTCAGAGAAAGAGGGGTCGGGGGGTCAGCCAAAGAGACCCCCAGAGGAAAAAACATGGCTCACCGAGTACACCTAGAAAACACCACACACCATACCATATACACGTACACACACAAACAGCACACCAGATGATGCACGGGGAAAGTGGGGGGTTGGGGGGATCAGGCATTGATTATTATTAAAGGGCCAATGATTTGTTTCCTCCACCATTTGGAGGAACACGGCTCACATCTAAATGAATATCAGATTAACACCTTGAAGTCATTACAGTGCACCCTTGATTGTCATATTCAGTTCATGCACCACAACAAGTTAAACACACACAAAAAAAAACAAGATGAAGTGTGATGAAGCTCGAGAGATCATTTTTTTCACGTGCGGACAAAGAACAGAGAAACAGCCTCAGGGTTCATTTCTCTCATTAAAACGTCCAAATACAAAACAGGTTGACACCTTGTAATGAGATATCCACGCACACGTACACATGTTTTGCACACACAACTACAGAAGTCAAAAGATCACTTGTACATCAGTCACATTACAGCAGTCTAGCCAGGCCTCTTGTAACCAGATGAATATTCCTTTATGGTCAAAAAATGGTCACATGCTGCTCAGAAAGCTAAGATTAGCTGCAGTGGAGAGCCAAGAAGAACGATCCCAATCCAGTAAGCCCAGGTGGAAGCCATTTGTTAGCACCATGTCGTTCGCAGTGTAAAATAGCCTGGGGATGGACCTGGGGGTGGCATGTTTATAGGCCAAATAATTTCCATGGAACAGTAAACCACTGGACGGGAGAGAGCTGTGAACTCTTTAAAACATCAACTGGAATTGACGTAACATCAAGACTTAAACAGCAGTTTTAATTGCAGTCACGTGGAGTGTAATTTGTGGCATGTCAGGATGTACATTTTATTTTTTGTCTCGAAATGTAGGCCTACGAACCAATCGCTAGCACAAGTTTATAAGTCATGTTTATGGAGGAGAGAAATACATGCAAAGTTAAGGTTATGGTCAACAATACAGTACAAAACTGAGACACAAAATGACAGTGGAATCCATGCATACTGATGTTTTTTATCATTTATTTTGGCAGTCACTAACTCTGAGTAAGTGAGGAGGGCCCCTGTCAATGGGCCCTCGTGTCAAAGCCGTCCACAGAGAATTTACAAAGTGGGGCGGGGAGCGACTCCTCACTTCACCGCAGGTTGTAATTTCAGCCGCAGGGGAGGGCATGTTCATCTTTTTTGCGTGACAGATCTCCAACATAATGCATTGTCAAATAATTCTTAATATGGCGAGTGTGACACGATGGCCACGTTCTCAATATTCAGATTTGCTCTGGCTCATAAACTCAGCCGCCACCATGTGCCATTGGCCCATCAATCAAGACATCTCCACCCCCCCATTCCCCCCTCCTCCTCCCCCTCAGACTCTTCTTCACCTGTCAGCCCATTTGAATATGAGGTGGCGCTTGGATGGCTTCCACAAAATAAGCCTCTGGGAGAACACGGCCTGGCAAAGCTGTTTACACGTGTAGGAATTTTGATTGAGGAATATGCATAGCTCTCCTGTGCCAATGGATATGACAACCCTTTTCACCCCAGTCAGAGGTCCTTCCCAAATCTATTTAAGTATATCTCATCATCTTGTGGGAAAAGTCAAGGCTTTTATAAATCAATTTGAATATTTGCCTCTAATGTTGACACTCATTGTTTGAACAGGCTTTTACAAAACTCCTTGGCAAACAAGGTGGCTAGAAATGAAAGGCTCAACAATGTTTGCTCTAGTTTGATGATGAGAACAAACACTGACAGAGAATATCAAGGACTGACAATCACTGCCCATCTTTCTTAGTCTCCCCTTCAATAAGTCTCCATTTAGATAATTGAACTTGTGTAAACAATGATCCATCTAAAAGCAGAAGGGCCATTTAACACAGATCGTCTGCGTGTGAGGGTAAACAAACAGAGTGCTACTAGATCTGTCATGGCTCGGACCCCTCTAGATAAAGATGGATGGGAAAGCAGAAAGGAGGGAGGGGGCTGAGGGACTGGGACAGGCAGTAAAGAGCCGCGTCAACTGCTCTCCCTCCTCATGCATTAAATTCAAAGGAGGCTGGTGTACAAAACTCCCACTGATCAATTGTAAGCAAAAGGGAGTGGAGGAAGGGAGGGGGCAAGGTTCTGGTTTGGCATACGTGATCAGCACATTGGGCCAAATGATGTCATCCATCAGGATGGACACTGCAATTTGCCATCTATTTCCTCATCAATCAAACTTGAGCGTTCTTACAAGGGGGTGGGATATGTGTTTATGTATGTGTGTGTGCATCTATGTGTGTCTTCTAGAGACAGAGAGGCACCGGCAATCTCCAGGCCTTACCTGAAAGGCAATAAGTGGCATCAACAGAGTGCAGCAATCCGCTCCACTGCTCTTTTATCCATGAATAAGGTTTCCAATCTGTTTAACTTGAATTAAACATTATGGATACAATGCTCAGTGACTTTTTTTCTACAAAAAGCTGCAAAGTTATATAAATAGAAATACACACATAAAAATCCCTGTTTAATTCTCCCTGCAGTCATGATATAATTCAAACCTTAGAGAAGACAGAAGACTTTAGGTTTTTATAATTTTTTCCAGTAAAATAGCCTATAAGGTGCCTGCTCTCTCTCCTGCTGCACTGCTATCAGTAACTTCACAGAATTCAGCGGTTTTGAACTCAATGCGCCTTTGGCTCTTGAATATACTGTATCTAATATACAATCCTCTAACTGACCACTAGATATTATCCCTGCTAAATTCACCAAAGAGCTACTTAATACATTTAGTCCTAACTTTGTATCTATTATCAACAGCTACTTAGCCGCTGGCACATTCATCCATACACTTTTAAACACGCAGTATTTTCACTGCTCTCGAAAAAACCCTTTTGAGAATGCTGTTAGTCCCAGCAACTACTGGAAGATTCAATCATAAAGATTTTAGAAGAATTAGTTATCATGAAACCAGTAACTTCAGTGGAAACATTGGGGGGGGGGGGGGGGGGGAACGATGTGTCATGTAATCACTTCATAAACTGGATTACCAGGGTTGGATGGTTAGCCCTGGGCCTCTCAGATAGAAATGACAGATTACCTGTTAGATCCTGATTAGTTTATTCTCAGCACATTTAAGTCTTATCTTATGAAGCAGTTATTCTAACATCTGAGCATATCTATCTCTGGTGGCTTGAAGATACAGTAGATATTAAGTGTTTGACAACAAATCGAGCGTTACATTTTTCAAGTATTAAACCAGATATATGGTTTAGGGCTAACCTGTGTATTGTTTTACATTATAGAGCTGAGCAATTCAGCACTAGGATCACCTTTGCCCCTTGGCTTACAATTGAATGATGCTGAAAGACACCTCTGTGAATCCCAGCAGACAAGAGAGAGAGATCAGAAGCTACCATGAAATCATAGAGGAGCACTTTTTCCCCTTATTTAACAAAATTATTATTATTTTTAAATATCTGCTACACTGTATCTGGAGTGCTTGATATAGGTTCATGGCACAGGACAGTTACAATTTGGACTTACAATACAGGATTGAATACCACAGTACTTTCAGGGTACGACATAAAAACAATTAACATGTAGTACAGATGAGGTATACTAAATCATATGGCGACAATAGAGAATACATTTTACTTCTTTAATTAAATGATTCCTTATACTTCAACTGGTAACAAACCTCAATACTTATTTTCT